GGTCTTAAAAAATCTCATAATTAGAAACTTTTTTAAAACCTAATTATACCCCTTCCTTGAATAAAAAATATAAAGAAGACGTGATTCTCTATTAATTGACTGAAAGAAAGTATATTTTTGTTTATGGTTTCTATAAGGTATATTTGAATTTGCAAGACCATCGAAAATCAATGAGAAGAATGCATGCTGCTTAATTAGTCATTTTTTACCAAGTGCACTTTCTACAGGAGATTGAAAAGCACTGTATCCAAAAGCCGAAATCCTACCGAGTCCGAAATGTTATAAGATTATGGCGCAAGATAATCAGTATTACAGCCGCGTCCAAATGACTCTTCCTAATCGAGAACGCATTTCAGAATTTCAGCCAACATTTCATGAGATAGGTCACTCACTTTACATAATGGTTGGGGACGCTCACCGATCGTGATCGTGATTTAGTTTATTGCGATAACAGACATGCGCTGCGTCTACCGCGCTCTCTTCTCCTCCTTCCCCCACCTGAGCCCGGTCGAAACCGGGGGGGCGGCAGAGGACGCGGGTGGCTGACACGGCGAAAATCCCCACTACACTGCTACACTCCGTGGTCCTAAACGTACACTGAGTAGGATTTTCACAAAACAAGAAAAAGCGGGAAGACGGCTCGAGCCAAAGTCTGCGTGACGTGGACCAGCAATCGGGTGTGTAGCCACATGTCCATTGTTGGCGTTTGTTATGGGTGCGCATTCGCAATAACGCCTGTCTGATTCCGATCTGCCCCCTGCGTCGGTTCGGAGCATCTGTTGTGTGGCCAGTTTTGGGGGAACCATATTTTATACACGGACTTGAAGCTTGCGATATGACGCAGGCCATACCAGATTGTGCAAGGTGATATCGCAGCTTTTATTTCAATGTCGTAGGCGGTCGGCGACATCATAGGAAAATTTGCATAGCAGACGGTTTGACAGTTGAAAAATTCGTCGACTGAAAGCAATTAAGAGTCACAGGCAACGGAGGAGTACATGCGAACGAAGCTTCGTAAAATGAACTTAATCTTCTTTGTTAATGTGCAAAAAGTATACAGAGAATAGTAAATAATACGAAAAAGAAAAACAAGATTGGTGGGTAATAAGTGTGACGACGCGGAGGCGTCGGATGCAGTGAACATTTCTACAAGGAATTTAAAAAACGACACTGGACTTCCAGTGAGAATGAGAGACTAGAGGACAGAGAAATACTAAGGTAGCGGAAGGAAGAGACATCGCTGGAAAAAGTTTAGAGTTTTAGAGTTTTGAGCTGATCGCCGTCGGGAGAAACACTGGGCAAACATCCTAAAATAAAGCAAAAAACTGATTCCCAACGACTCTGCCAAGACGTGATACAAGTCTTCTTCAAGAAGACGAACATCTTGGACGGGGTGGCCAACAAGCATATTATCTGTATACTTAACACATAATTACTCTTTTTGGCTATTTAGATCCTCCATGTATGATAGAAAGAGGCACGGCGACAATATGTAATCCTGAAGATCTCCAAAATGATTAGAAGGGAGAACCAATTCCCGATTGACAAAATCAGCAGTGAAAGAAAAGTAAATCTACTGTATCAGATTTGGTGGATTCCAGACGTTGCAGCAGTAGGTTGGACGGGCAACCTGACCCAAATGTGATTAAACTCACGCCTCCCTTTGGGGCCTTGTAGCTCAAGTGGTTAGAGCGTTGGTTGTACTAAAGCCTACCTCTTACTGCGTGGGTTCGAATCTTACCGAGGCACCGAGTTTTTCACAGTTGGGTCAGTATGAAAGAAAAGTGATCTGCGAGCTAGAAGACAAGCTGGCCGCAAGAGCTCACTCACATGTTTTATTGATGAATAGTTCTGGAAGCAGTTGTATGGCAGTCCCCGTCTAAGCAGTTTAGAGCGCAACGCTATCGAACGTACTGCGCCTGGTGGTATATGCAAATTTTAGGACATCGGATAGAGCCTAGGAGATTGTCGTGATAACACCTGCAGTAGGTGTGTTAACCCATGGAATGGCAACTGAAATTTTGAAGTGCGTTTTCTACTTGAAAAGATGGATTAAATAAGGTTGTAGTATTAAACATCGCGCAGCATAGTCTCATAAAAATTCAGCTACTCTAGGATGCCGACTTTTGAACGAACTTCTTTTCGGCCATCTGCAAAGATCACACTCTGTGAAGAAGGATCGCTTGTGTTGCACTAAATTTTCTCATTAAGTCTCTATACCCTTATAAGATTAAATATATTTCAAGAAAAACATGTATAAAATATGGATAGATCGCAGTTGGTAGCCCGTACCCGCATTACAGGTGGCTGAGGGGTTTGTTTACTTGGGTTATTTTGTGGGGCTCCATAATCACATCTGACACATTTGGCCTCCGTTTTACGTTTGAGGTTGGGATTAGTGTACCGGTTAATGGTTTCCGTTTTCCCGGTTAGAGTTATGCCTTTAGGCTTAGATTTTCGGGTTATGGTTAGGGTTTGAGCGTACGAATAGGTTCCAGTATTACGGTTAGGCTTCTCAGTTATGGCTATGTCTAAGGGCTACGGTTAAATTTACAATTTCGCCTAGGGTTAGGGTTAGAGTTGCCGTTAGGGTTAACCGTTAACGGTAACGGTTGTGGTTTGGGTTAGGGTTAAGGTTGGCATTAGGGTTAAGTTCGCCGTCGGCTTCCCATTCCGGGCTACCAACTTCGATGTAACCAAAAATATTTATTCTTTTACTTATTTGGTGGGAAATACGTCTTTTTCAAATTTTGTACTTGTAGGAAGGGTATAATTTGGCCTTAAAAGAATTTTCTAATTCCGAATAGTTTTGAACCGGACCTGCCGTTACACTTGCATTCAGGATTTCCAAACTACAAGCTTCGTACTTTTAATGTACGGAAAATTATACATTTCTCTACGGTATTAAGAGGAGACTACATGGGATGCATAAGATTTGGCAGTGGACTTGAGCCATATTGTAAACCATACGAGCATCATTAGTAAGTGCAGAGACACGATGCTTTTTGAACTGGCGCTTCACGGTCTTAAAAATCTCGTAATTAAAACTTTTTAAAAACCGAATTTTATCCTTCATTCAAGTATACAGTTTAAAGAAGACGTGATTTCCCACCAACTGAGTAAACTAGTGAATATTCGAATGCATTTTTTCCATGAAATGCATTTGAATTTACAAGTATATCAAAAATCAATGCGAAACTACCATGCAGCATAAGCGGTCCTTTTTAACAGAGTGTGATTTTTGCAGCCGGCCGAAAAAAGTCCGTCGAAAAAGCCGGCACCCTGAAGTAGCTGAGTTATAATGAGATAATGTGGCACGATGGTTAATATTACAACCCCGCTTAAGTCATCTTCTCAATTCGAAAAGGCGTTTCAGAATTTCTGTTAACATTTCATGAGTATGCAAATCTACTGTGAGTCAATTCGTTCAGTGAACTTTAAGCAATCGGACAGAGTTACCTAGGAAGAGTTTTGTTAGAATTTTTAGGAACAGGAGTAATTCCAACAGTACACCAGGCCTCAGGCGTCTTACGTTCTAAACAGAACAGTTTACAGGCTTGCCAGCATCTGGCACGAGAACTGTTAACCAAGAGATCTTTCGAAGACGTTTCTCAAGTGCAGCCACGGACATTGGAGGAAAGGCACTTGGTGATAGCCCGAAGTCATTGGAGTATGGATTAGGCTCATTGCACAAAATACTGATTTATTGAGCGGGAGTTAGCACCAACATGTGGTCTATGGCTCGCCGACGAGTGAGACGTTTAAGGGAAGTGTTTCATGCGCCAGACACACTAAGAGGGGACCAGATACTGTCTCAGAATCCATCTGACTGAGCGCCCTAATACCTGGGTCCGTGTCTTGCTGATCTTTCAACTGCGATGGATTTGGTTCATCGGTCCGCCCCCCGGGCGACCATGGCGTTTTTGCCAGTGCTCCAGCCTGACCCCTACACCGGGCCTTGCGGGAAGTGGGCTGGAGACATGGCAGGCGTTCACTTGGCTGAGCAATGTCCATGAAACCCAAAACAAATACCACAGATTGGGGGGGGGGGAGGGTGTGGCGGCACGCCTAGGTGTAGATTCCCGCCACACCAGCCACTTGATCCTAATCTCCAAATCGGACGGCTGGTCGGCTTGGAGAGTGAAGTGGTAAGGAAAAAGAGCGAGAGAGAGTGGAAAACTGAGGTTGATTCGGCGGGTTGCGCCCATACTGAACGCAGCGCCTAACACTGACAAGCTTCTAAACCATCACAGTGCGCCAGAAGTCCTGACAGGAAAGGCTGTCGACTGACAAGATAACTCCGTCCGCCTTTGAGGACGGGGAGTCAGGCAGCAATGTGACCCCATTAATGTGGCCTTTATGGCCTTCCCAGTCAGTTGGGATCCGAGCCTTCCTCGCTTTGTTGTTTTGGTAAAATTCTGGTCCATTGTGCGCGGAGCGGGCGTAGGTGTGTGTGTGTGTGACACACAGGTAGGCGGGGTTTTTAGCTTTGAAAGACACTGCATCCGATCCCTTCCCAGATCTTCCTGACCATGTCTGGCTGGGTGGGCGCGGGAGGAGAGGGCGCAGTAGATGCGGCACAAGTACACCATCTCTGTAAACTTATCCACGCGTGTGTCACCGTCCGCACCCTCCCGTCGTGCTACGGGGCACACGGTGGGCATAATCGTTCGTCCGCCGTGTCGAACGTAACTCTAGCTTCCCTTGCATCCATTATCCATCATCCAGGGTTTTCAATCCTTAATCAGACCTCATGTCACTTCCCACAAAATGCAGCTTTATCGACTTTGGTTGCGTGCATTTGTTAAAATTATAGGCACAGCAGCTCTACTCCCTTGGCCTAAAAGCTTTTGAAATTACGAGAACCGGGGTTAGGGGTTAGTATGTGTGAGGACCGTTCGCTCTAGTAAAAGCGAGGACTGGGTTATTGCATTCTGTCTCCTGAGACGTTGCACTCATGAGGTCCGCCGACAAATACCGGCGAGACTCAAGCCGCCAGTTCACCCTCGTCTGCCACCACCACCACCACCACCACCACCACCACCACCACCACCACCACAGGCACCACCATCATCATCGCCGTCGCCGTCGTCGTCGGCGTCATCACCATCGTCATCATGGCATTCCCGGAAAAGATAGAGGAGGCTGGAACGATAATTTCTGGCTTACTAGCTGTCATCGACCAGCCGCACCCAGCCCCGAGGCATGCAAGCTCCAAAGCTCACACGCATAGTCCGCTGGTTAGAAGTCCAACACCCTAACCACCCAGCCATGGACTCGTTGTCCTGTCGGCTGCGATCGAGTATATTAACAATGATTGGGGGACTCGCCCGACTCAGTTGCGAAACCCACTCCTACCATTGTGCCCTGGGGCACTTTCTCTCGAGCCCTGCCGGCAGCCACACAGCGACGCGTGATAGGAGCAGAAGAACATTATCGATAAAGACAACAGAGACCAGAATGGCCATTTTTGGCTTGTCAGCCGTCATCAGCCAAACTCTACCAACATCACTACCACCACCACCACCGCTATCATCATCATCATCATCATCATCATCATCATCATCATCATCATCATCATCATCATCATCATCATCATCATCATCATCATCATCATCATCATCATCATCATCATCATCATCATCATCATCACCATCAGTATCATCGTCCTCATCGCCGGCATCATTACCATCATCGACCGCGGCCAGAGCACAGGAAATGGGAAATTGGGAGTGAGCTCTAAATCGCTGAATCTTCAAAGAAGCCGAAAGTGTCGGTCGAGGCTTCTTGCTCTCCCGTCAACTAGATCGCATATGGTATCCATCTATCAAGCCTCCGTCATTTAAGTCTGACACTATGTAGGAATATGAGATGCAAGCAACTTGGGGCGTCTTCTTCCGACGGACCAGATATAGGGTTGCTGGCGGAGGACAAGCTTTTGAACCTCCAGATCCGAAACGACGTTGATAAAGTGTCCAGGAAGCGTCCTTTCCAGATGGGCAACCGCTATGTTAAGGTACGTTTGACGCCTAAGAGAACAAAGAGCTTGCTAAACCCCAACACGCCCTCAAGGGGTCTTTGCGACCGGCGTCGAAACTCCGTCCATACCAGCCACTAGGCTCTGGACCCGCAGAGAATACAGCATCTAAAAACGCCAGACTAAAACGAACGAGCTCCAATTAAATTAACTACAAAATACATATTTGAATTTTATAGTTCATTGGTTGTAAGTGGCATTTTTCTTTAAAGTAAATCAGAAATGCTGATAACGCGAAAATTGATGTCAGATGAGTACACTCAATCTTTGGTAGTTCGTAAAGTCTGCCCTTGAAAATGGCTAAGTAAATAAAAGGGAATACGCTGCGCTTTGCAGTAAATATCTTTCAGGAATTATAGTTATATGAGGCCTCGTAGCTCAGGGAGCTAGAGAATCGGCTGTACTAAGGCCCTTCCCTTGCTGTCGTGGGTTCGAATCCCGCGGAGGCACCGATTTTATCACAGTTGGGTCAAAATGAAGTTTGGCACGGTTAAGTGTGCAATTTTTGAAAATAGATCTGAAACCTGTTCCGCTAGAATACGATGTAGTTCTTTCGATTTTTTATCAGTCGAAATGGGATTGGTTAAAGCAAAGAGGATTTTGTTGGATTTTGATGGCAGGAAAAAAGTTTTCATTAGGCTCTATGGTAACTGGTCGGTCAGGGACTAGGAAAGTTGTATAGAATTAGCAGATGAAATCCTAGGCTTCCGTATTTCCTGGGCACCATAAGAATGGTTTCTCTGTAAAATTGCAACGAGGTTTTTAATCACGGTGGACTCCAATGAACCACAGGACGCTCTTGAAATTTCAGTGAGTTCATCACGGCTCTCACGGTTCTTAATTAACCGCCCAAAATAGGTAATTTCTGTGGTTTATTTCTATCGAGACCTCCAAAATAAGACATTAGTTGAAAACATTTACCCAAACACCGTCTTCTTGGGCGTTATTTCTTTCAGCCAACTGATCGAGTCATATTTTGGACTCACCAATCATGAGTTTGGGCACATCCTGTGGGTGCTATGCTCTCCAGGTTATTTTAATTGATGGGGCCACCGATTCAAATGTTCAATGGAAAGAAAATGATTTCGATTTGCAGGATTCCAGCATGGCTGATTGACAACAATAAAAATGTAAAAAATGACCATCCCAGTCTCTATTACAGTTTATGATTCACTGCTTCCTTCGCCATATCTAAAGCCCTCCTACTAGTGTGAAATTAGCTTCCCTGAAAGCGATTCAATGATGTGTGAGTTACACTGATTCAACTCCACTTCCTTTTAGCACAGTAAATGTAACATTGGGCGACTATGGTCCGTACAAAGCGTGCAAACCCGAGACTGTTTTGCAGAAACCGCCGTGTTGTATTGGGCTTTTGGCAATTTTAACATTAATCCTCCGGCAGCCTGGATTGAGTCTGCCCTTTATAGCATGTAGATACCTAAAACCTCGGTCTGAGCCTTGTCGATCACATGTACTAAAATATGCGCGCAAGCAAAGTTGAGTTCCTTACAGAGTCGCGTTCTCTGTGCCAAGCCACACTACAGAGTTCAATGCGATTGGCAGATACCAGCCAATGAGAACCAAGCCTGGAGTTCTTGCGTACCCAAAGCTGAACCACGGATTTTAAAGCCACGTCGGAATAGCTCTGAACGTTGGTTGCAAATAAACGCGAAATAATCATTCCGATAACCCCCATCCTTTCTCCACGATACATCCCTGCCCTTAAATTCTTCAAATACCAATTCCAGGACAATAGTTCTAAAAGTCGAACTACTTCGGAGGTGGAATCGGACAAAACCTTTGGCTTAATAACTGGAAACTGTTAGTACTAACGAGTGTGTAAGTAGCATGTCTGAATAGCACTGGGGAAAAGAAGAAGGAATGCTGGACCAAAATACGAAGGAAAAACGACTCCAGCTTCAAACTCCTTCCAGCCTCTCCTTGCCACTGCAGTGACCTTGATGGAAACCCTCACATCCATCGCCACCTGAGAGAATGACCATCGTGAGATACGACGTTCACGGCATGCACCACGAAAAGGGCGCATCACCGGTGACTTGCGCGTGAATTAACTTATAGCGAAGCGGACTTCTGTAACATCTGCGCCGAACCTACGCAGCATTTACTCCACGCCCTCTTCTCTCAAAGTTTTTGATACGCGTGCCACACTCATCCTGGTCCACATGGCATGTATCAGGAACCGGCAAGGGCCGTTCGGATTTCACATGCATGAGGGTATCAGAGGGGTAACAATGAAAAGTAACTGTTGTAACCTGACTTCCACTTCTTAGAAGGATCGAGTTATCTCGTTAATTGACAACCTTCCAGGTCATGCCTCTCATCTCGTCGCCGCAGATGTGGGCGCACCAAAATTTTAATGGCGATTTACCACGAGGATGGATCCCCCAATTTCGCCTTCCACCGAAAGTAACACCATTCACGCGTTAGTCCACGTCGTACCCCGAAACACACTTAGAATTCATATTGACCCAACTGTGAAAAACTCGGCGCCTCGGTGGGATTCGAACCCACTCAGTAAAGGGAAGGCTTTAGTACATCCAACGCTCTAACCACTTGAGCTACGAGGCCCCGCCGGACGACGCGAGTTTAATCACATTTGGGTCAAGTTACCCACCCAACCTACTGTAACGTCTGGAATCCACCAAATCTGATACAGTAAGTTGACTGCACAAGCAGGATTTCTTAAGTAATTCACCTAGAATCCCCAGATGACTACTAGGATCACGTAATTCATAGATGTTTTGGCAGTTTTTGAATAATTCATATTGACCCAACTGTGAAAAGGACATTTAGAATTACTGATAGACTCGTCGGACACTCCTCCCCCACTTCCGTCCTAACCTCAGCCAACAAACTCCTTAGATAGTCACCCGAACGCTCAAACACTGCCTGCTAAATATAGTCACTGTTGTCTATGATAGGCTGCTTATCGATCCTTTTCAAGTTGGAATGACCGACTGGGTAAAAATAACTATTCAAATCTACCAAAACACCAATTATTTAAGTGAACCTGGTAGTCATCTGTCGGATTATAGATTGATTGTTTAGGTAATCCTGCTTAGTCAGTCGGCTTTCTGTTTCAAAATTGGTGGATTCGATATGCCGCACTAGGCCGGACGGGTAACTGGATCCAAATGTAGATAAACTCACGTCCCTCCGTAGGACCTCGTAGCTCAGGTGTTTAGAAGGTTAGATGTCCCTAATCCATGGCCTAGCTGTCGTGGATTCAAATTTCGAGGAGGCCGCTGAAGTTTTTACGATGGGGTCCAATGAGCCATCCGAATCTACCAAAAACACCAACTAATGACCGATGCATCCGTATAATTTCTCCTACTCATGACATACTGGGTGCACCAGGCATAGAATCTTCCAAGGACGCTCATCTAAACTTCATGTCTAGGAGGTCATTAAAATATTAGCGAGGTTTTGACGACACCTTTATTCTGTGCGCAACTTTCTGACTCGTCTTGGATTTTCCTGCCGATGGCCCGTCACTTTGAAGGTCGCAGCGTAAATACTACACTTTTTCTGAAGCGACCCTCCATTCTCCCCCTCCGCTCTCCCTCAACGAATTATCCAATCAAAATATTTCCACAGGGTAGCTTCTTTGCATCAGATACTTTTTTCCGGATCCGGCTCTTACAAATCCCGCTTGACAGAAGAACGTTGCTTCACAAATCGATGACAGGGCGCGCATCCGAGACCTGTCATAGATTTAGAGGGATGTTTCTTTCCAGTGCAAGTCTGATGAGGTGATGGTGAACCAAACCAAAAGCTCGGTCTAATAAGGGGTCATTCCGAGCGATCGATACTGCCACATCAACTTTTGACTGGATGAAGTTGTTTCATGTTTACCTTACGCCTCTTCTGTCTTCCCTTGCACCCCAGCTACATGGTGGGAATTCCATAATTGAAGTCGAAAATGACTTCTTTTCATGCACTCTTTGTGAAATACGTGCAACCCTTCACCATCTAGTTCAAATAACTGCGTGAAGGGCTACTATTTCAATATAATGACATTATGATATATTTCATATAAATCGGGCGTCACCGCTTTATAATGAGATTACAGGCAGCATACAGTGAATGAACGATCTTACGGGATTTACACCGAAATTTTAAAATTTTTCGATTAAAAAGGATTATTTAGATAGAGTTGTAATGTTGATCATCGTGTAGCACTCCAGGACGCCGGCTTTTGATAAAGTACCCTCCGGTCGCCTGCAAACACCAAACTCTCTTGAAAAACGACCACTTATGCGGTAGAATTTTTTTCCATTCATTATCGATGCCCTTATAAATCCAAGTATACTTTATAGAAAACATTCGCCAAAATACTCATTCTTGCCTGATTTCATGACAAACTACGTCTTATTCAATATTTTTATTAAAGGGGAAGGACACTTTCGGTTTTGAAAAAAATTTTAAAATCCCGATCAATCTTGAACCCGACTAGCAGTTGCATTCGCGTCTGGGGTTACAAAACAAAATGTTATCTACCTTCCGCGTAATAAAATCATGCATTTTGCTATATTACTGAGAAGATACTCTCTACTGATCATAGGTTATGAATTAGATGCCCACCATGTTGCATACTTCATAAGGGACACTGATATAAAGCAAATAAGAGGCTAGTTGATTGGGCATTTCACGATCGCAAATGTTTCATGGTCACTAACTTTTAAAATCTACCCTTTCTCCTGCTACAGAATTTAGAGAAGACGTAGGTTTCTACAGAGCGAGTACAAAGAATGATATTTTTGAAAATGTTTTCCATGACATGTTTGAATTTATAAGGACATCAAAACTCAATAGGATAATTCATATTAAACAAGCATTTATCTTTTTTCGCACAGCAAAGACATTTTGACTGAATTCCTGTCTTCTAACTGTCCCGCACGGCGCGTACATTTGCAACCCCGTAAGTTCGCCATGCACAAGAATAAGGCGTGTGCCGAGTTCAACTGGCGCTAAGATTGTTTTAGCAAAGCTAATGGAATATGGACCAGGGAAGGATTCAATCCCCATGTTCCAACTTTACGCCTATCCCCGCAAGCCCAAATCCTAACACTAGTCCTCATTACACTAAATATAACTGGTTTCGCGGAGTTTAAAGCAAGGCCGCATGTAATACGGTTGACTGTATTCCGGTATCAAACTGCATAGATGTCATATTATGTGTTCAGATTGGCAAAGTTCAAAGATCCGGGTTTTTTGGTTTGAAGAAAAAGATGGGCTCACCGGAACGGGTCACATGAATTTGGAATTCTTCCACCATCATTGGATAACAGATTGTGGAATTCTACCCGACGACTTTGATGCACCGCCACCGAATAAGTGTGATTTCACTTCAAAATGACTTCAAAGTTGTGAAATTTTTGAAATCAGATTGCTATCCGTCATTACCCCACTGCGCAGAATGCGGAAATTGTCCAATTTTGCAAGCTGAGAACTCTCTGCTAGTGCATTGCAATTCCTGTTACTTCAGCAGACGCTTTTAGGCATTAAACAGTTTAGACGTGGCTTAAACTCGAAAGTCCTACAAAATCATTTGTCAGTACTTTTGAGTGGAAGTCCGCACTTTGGACTTATCAACCGAAAAAGTTACCAAGTTATCAGTAGTGGACTAAACGTTCTGCAAGAGTTGTTTCAAAGACCACAATGTAGATATTTCTATTAGTAGTTTAAGGGAAAGAGTGGATGGTCTCTGGCCCCCAGACGGGCCACGTGGTAAATGCGCCGGACCAACACGGGGGCCATATCGGATTCTGGCAGGTGTTATCTGAATGCACATCAAAATAAATGCCAACATTTCGGAGGTACGATGGCGGACCCGAATTTCGGCGGTCGCCGCGCACACTGGAATTCCTGCTAATCCCCATTGTCGTTGTTGGTCGAAAACCTGGTTATTTGTAGTGTGGACCAGGGGGTGTGGAGTGGAACGCCAAGGTGCGGGCTCGGCCGCGCCATCCACCTGCGCCCTCCCCCCGCCTCCGGTCTTCTTGACGCCGTCTTGACACCGGGTCCAGGTGCGGGAGGAGAGGGTGCGGTAGATGCTGTGCAAGTCCACTACCACTATAAACTACTTTTTCGCACAAGTCACTGTCCCTGCTCTCACCCTGCTGTGGGGCATACGGTTGACATCGTCGAAACCGACGATCGAACTATCAGATGGTCTCTAGCATTCACAACGCAAATCGACACGGAAGGTAGGTTTCTTCCGCCCCTGACAGGACACATGCGAGCTAATTTCGCCTCCCCGATTAATCGCCATCTGTGTGCTATCACATGCGGGTCAGCTGACAGATCAAGGGCTCAGAGGTTACACACATAAACTCACTCTTCGCGTCATTCACCCACCAGGTTTGCTTGTGACAAAGAAAAAAGACAAAGATTTCATAGCCGCAACAATACCGCCCTACCACTATCCATTGCCACTGAATTTCCCGCTACGGCTCGCATCTCTTGCTCACGGCCTCAGCACGTCAAAAGAGCGTACACAAGCGACGGCAAATTCAGCGTAACGTGGCCGCATTGGATGACATAAAAGCATAGAAGAGGAGAGGGAGAGAGGAGGTTACGAACGCGCTTGAAGACACGTGAAAGCTGCGTTCACCCATCAGTCCTTAGTGTGGGATAGAAGGAGACACTTAGGTTTTG